AGGCTGGCGGGGCATGCCCGTGGCGGATGGGCGCGGCCCTTCTCACGCCGGGCACCGGGGCGCGACAACCGGCATCTGGCTCATTCACAGGCTTGAAGATACCTGGGAGGAGGCAGCAAGAGAGAGGCGATCAGACCACGGCCAGTGCTGTCTGTCCCAAGTCGAACCGCAAAGGCTTGTGGGAGAGTTCCTGGCACCTGTGCTCGCCCGGATGCACACCTGGTTGCCTCCCTGGAGGCAGAGGGTCATGCAGGCCCTGTGGCCCCTCTGGCCGCCCACTTGTGGGACTGGGAAACAGGGTCACCCCACTGAGCCTCGAGGGGGCTCAGGGCCACAGAAAAATGCACAGTTGCTGCCTGAGCCACCCAGGAATCTTGGGTTATCTATTGCTTCACGGGAGCGGGGGGGGGGTGACCCAGTGTTCCAGGATTCTGATTGGCTGCAGTGAGTCAGTTCCAGACCCTGGTATCCAACTGGGTTCTGGACTCTGGTTCTGAGTTCTAGATGCCACCCACGCTTATTCTGGAGCAGCCTGAATCAGAGACCCTCCCCCACAACCCCCCCTTTTTTTTTTCTCTCAAACTGAACCTAGAGCCTTTGCACTGAACTAGATTCCTACCCCCTCCCCTTTTTAAGACAGGGTCTCACCAGATAGTTGAGACTGACCTGGAACTCACTATGTAGCCCAGGCTAGTCTTGAACTCACAGTGATCCTCCTGCCTCAGCTTCCCAGAGTGCTGGGATCAGAAGCATGTGTCATCATGCCCTGCTCCTCTTTTCTGATTAACACAGACAAAGCTAGCCCAGACTGAGCACTTGCTGTATACCAGCCCTGAGCCAACACCCACTACCCAAACCGGCACCCCATCCTCACAGTTACGCCCACACCTCGGTCCCTCTGAGCCTACTTTCCCCATCTTATAAGCTGGTAATGATCACAGGCAAGGGGAGGGGATGAAGCGGGTTCATGATCCCAAAGGTGGGTACAAAGCAGGTGCCACACAGCGAGAGGGAGGCTCCGTATTTGCCAGTGGGGAATGGACATCCTGCAGGCAGATGGACACCCATGTCTGGGTGAGGTCAGAGCCATCTCTGCTACCTCCACATTCTCTGCAGGGAAGCAGGGGTCTGGAGTCCCTAGTTCTTGGAGGACTCGAGAGGGGTGAATGCTACTGCTCTGCTCTGCCCTCCCCAGGGGCTTCCAGTTCCTCAGGCTACTGCCACCCCCATCTGCCTAGGACACCGTCGGGATGTCCCAGGACCTGTCAGGGATCAGCATGGGGACCCAGGTCCCATCTGGCCCCCATCCAGCCTGGGCTACATCTCCACCTGTCCTGATAAAACAATAAAACAGACCAAGCAGAACCGAACAGGCCCATGGTGACACCCTAGACAGAGTGGGGAAGACGGACAGATAGGAGGGTGCAGGAGGCCACCCCTAACCCTGACATGGCAAATGAACCCAAAGTTCACACAGGACTCCCAGGCACAGAGGGGAGGACAGAGAGACTGGGGACAGGCTCTAGCCAGTGTGCCCACTGTCCACTCTCTGGACCCTCCTGACCATCCCCACCCAGGAGACTTACTCAACGCAGATATCCAGTCACAGACAGGCCCCGTCCCCAGACTTCCTTTGCCAGGGAGTTGGGGTAAAAGGGCAGTTAGGGGAGCCAGGAAGGTGGCCTCATGACAATGGGGATAAAGCGCATCCCAAGGGGGCCGTGGTGTCCCTGCCTGTCCAGTGAGGGTAGAGGTCCCATTGCACAAAGACTTCCGGAGCTTCGTCCTCCAAAGGTCAAAAAAGTAGCACCCAGCTCGTCCCCATCCCCCGGGTGGGAGCTGCCGGTCACCGGCTTCCACCCGACCCAGGAAACGCTGAGGGGACATTTTTGGCCTGGCCTGGTCTGGTCGGCCACCCCTCCCCCACCTTTGACAACTTCAAGACAAGCCCCCCCCCACGGAAACGCTGCAGGCGACGCCCCCTCTTTGGTGATGGTGGTGGGTGGGGGGCAGAAGGAAAAGGCTGGAGGAAGCTGCTCCTCCCTGTAGCCCCTCCTCGAGGGCCACTGGGTTTAATGACCCTTCCGGGTCGTTGGGTGGGGGAGGGGCTCGGGACAGACCTCTCCACGTTGGGGCTGGTGGAGAGAAGGGGGCAGGTGGGAACCCTAGACCACCCCCCAAAATCGGGACCAGGCCTGAGCTCCCCCATCAGCGCCGATTCCCCGAAGCTGGCGACGCCCACCCCTGCAGACCGCTCCTCCCCCCGGGAGCCCTTTGCCCTCC